CCACACCGTTCGAGAGATTCTTCGAGAGAAGCATCCAGCAGCATCACCTCTAAACGAAGACGCAGTTATGGACGGAGAGCCTCTGCCTCAACCACATCCGGTCATCTTCACGGCACTCAATAGGGACGTTATTCGCCAAGCTGCGCTGCGCACGCATGGTGCAGCCGGGCCTTCAGGCATGGACGCAGCCAATTGGCGAAAGATTTGCACTTCCTTCCGCTCAGCCTCGGATGCACTCTGCGATGCTCTGGTTACCTGTGCCAGGCGAATAGCTACCAAGTATGTGGACCCCTTCTCACTGGAAGCTTATGTGGCTTGCCGTCTAGTGCCTTTGGACAAGCAGCCAGGTGTTCGGCCTATCGGGATCGGGGAAGTCGTTCGCCGCATTCTGGGCAAAGCCATACTTCAAATTGTTGGCTCGGCAGTAGAGAGTGCTGTTGGCTGTCTGCAGTTATGCGGTGGGCAAGAGTGCGGCGTGGAAGCCGCCATTCATGCGGTGAAGACCACCTTCGATGATGACCACACGGAGGGAGTCCTGTTCGCGGATGCAACGAACGCATTCAATCGCCTAAATAGAGCTGTTTGCCTGCGCAATGTTCAGCGGCTATGTCCTGAGCTCGCGCCAGCTGTTATCAACACCTACCGCTCCCCAGCTCACCTGTATGTTGGAGGAGAGGTGATCCTGTCTTCTGAGGGCACCACTCAAGGAGACCCATTGGCTATGCCAATGTATGCGCTTGGCACAGTGCCACTGATCCGGGAAGCCGCCGCAGCTGGGGCCATGCAGTCCTGGTATGCCGATGACGCAACTTCAGCCGGCGCTCTCCGACGAATGCGCACCTGGTGGTCCATCCTAGTAGATCGAGGTACCAGGTAAGTCCGTTCTCCTCGTGAAGCCACAACATCTTGCGCTAGCAACAGAATTGTTTGCCACAACCGGGGTCAACATCCGGACGGACGGCTATCGTCATCTTGGTGCTGCCCTAGGCTCTGCCCTGTTCTGCGACGGTTACGTGTCGCAGAAGGTTGACACATGGTGCACAGAGCTGCAGACCCTCGCCAAACATGCGGCGTCTCAACCTCAGGCTGCTTACGGTGTCCTTACCCATGGTCTCCGCCATAAGTGGTCATTCCTTGCGAGGACAATGCCAGCCATCGCGGACCTCTTGACACCGCTGGAAAACTCCATCAGGCAAGTTTTCCTCCCTGCACTGACTGGTCGCCAGGCCCCTGGCGAGGAAGAACGTGCCATCCTGGCGCTTCCGTGTCGTCATGGTGGCTTGGGAATTCTAAACCCAGGGACCCTTTCCCAGCAGTACGACACGTCTACGGCTGTCACCAGACCTCTAGTCGAGCAGCTCCTTCGACAGGAGGAATCCATCGAGGAAGTTGTTGCTGCCACCAAGGCAGCCAAGGCGGCCCAACGCACAGCTAATCGCCAAGATCAGGCAATGGCCCTCTCCTCCCTCAGGGATACCCTGAGTGACGACCACAGGCGGACTCTGGATCTAGCCGCAGAGAAAGGTGCCTCCAGTTGGCTCACTAGTTGGCCATCTCGCCGGTTCCAGTTTACCATCCACAAGGCTGGCTTCCGGGATGCCCTATGTCTGCGCTACGGCTGGACCCCTCCCCGGTTGCCGTCTCACTGCACCTGTGGAAAGCCCTTCGACACCACCCATGCCCTATCATGTGCCATCGGAGGATTCACTGGGATGCGCCACAACGAGCTCCGGGATCTAACCGCTAATCTGTTGCGTGAGGTTGCGCATGACGTCAGCGTGGAGCCAGAGTTGGAACCCCTCTCTGGTGAAACATTCCCTCTCCGGTCGGCCAACACGGAGGCTCATGCTTGTCTTGATGTGGCAGCACGTGGAGTGTATGGGAGTAGGTTAGAGAGGACAATGTTTGATGTTCGGGTGTTTAACCCTTTTGTCCCCTCCAACCGAAACCTTACTCTCCCGTCTGTCTACAGAAAGCACGAGCAGGAGAAGAGGCGTAAGTATGAACGGCGAGTCCTGGAGGTGGAGCATTCCTCGTTTGTACCCGTGGTTTTTGCAACCACTGGCGGCCAGGGGAAAGCTGCTTCGGCACTCTTTGCCAGGATTGCCAGCAAGCTGTGTGAAAAGCGCCGTGAACCTTTCCCGGTTATGATGGCTTTTGTACGGGCGAAGATCTCCTTTTGCCTTGTTCGAGCAATGGTTGCCAGTCTACGTGGTCACCGTCGGAACCCGCCTCGACATCTGTCTGGTTCGGCTGTGCTGGCAGCTGCTGAATGTGCCCTGGTGCCATAAACGGTGCACATGATACAGTACAGTTTCTTTGGTAATGGTGTTTCATTTACTTTTGTATTTTCAGTTCGTTTTCTTTGTATTTAACTCCTCATTGTTTTTTTACCAGGCGTGGGCCATCCCCTGCCTTCATAGGTGCCAAACATTTTACGTTTTTCATTTCTATTTTGAGAGATCATACTGTACACTCTAGTACTAAGATCATACTGTACACTCTAGTACTATGATCATACTGTACACTCTAGTACTATGATCATACTGTACACTCTAGTACTATGATCATACTGTACACTCTAGTACTATGATCATACTGTACACTCTAGTACTATGATCATACTGTACACTCTAGTACTATGATCATACTGTACACTCTAGTACTATGATCATACTGTACACTCTAGTACTATGATCATACTGTACACTCTAGTACTATGATCATACTGTACACTCTAGTACTATGATCATACTGTACACTCTAGTACTATGATCATACTGTACACTCTAGTACTATGATCATACTGTACACTCTAGTACTATGATCATACTGTACACTCTAGTACTATGATCATACTGTACACTCTAGTACTATGATCATACTGTACACTCTAGTACTATGATCATACTGTACACTCTAGTACTATGATCATACTGCAGCCGTGCTCGAGACCTGCAGATGACGGAACGTAGTAAAGTCCTCCGAGCTGCGCTTCCGCGTCGCCAACAGCGGACCCTCAACCGCATCGTTGATGGCAACGCTTCCGGCTGGTTGACCGTGCTTCCTCTCAAGCAGGAAGGTTATGACATGTCGGCGGTCCAGTTCCGCGATCAGTTGGCCATTCGCTATGGCCAGGAGCCGAACGCTCTCCCGTCGCATTGCGATGGCTGTGGAGCTGCTTTCTCTCTACAGCATGGTCTGGATTGCATGATGGGTGGGCTCATCAAGCGCGGGCACAACGATGTCCGCGACTTCGATGCCCGGCTGGCAGACGTTGCATGGGGAGGTGTGGCTGTCGAGCCGGTGATGGTACCTGTGCAGGATGGCAACAACCGCCCCACACTGCAGGCGGATTGGCTGGTCCGGGGAGTTTGGGAAGGAGACAGGGTGGCGTACTTTGACAACCGCATCGTGGATGCCGACGCACCCAGCTATGTCCGCTCGAACCTCTCTTGGAACGCCGTATCCAACAGTGCTGCCTCTTCCAAGAAGAGAAAGTACAAGGCGGCCGCAGAGGAACTGCGAGCATCCTTCACCCCGCTGGTCTGCTCAACTGATGGTGCACTGCACACAGAGTACCGTGCGTATCAACGGCGACTTGCTATGCGCCTTGCCTCCAGGTGGGACAAGTCCTACAGCAACGTCATGTCCTGGGTGCGGATCCACCATCAGTTTGCTGTTTTCCGGGCTGTCGACCTTCGTCTCCGCGGTTCACGTCGTCGTCTCGGTGGGCTGGCAATTTGCGATGGTGTCGGCCTTGGCGTTGGCCGTTAACATTCATGCGTATGGCACTTGTTGTTGTTGTGTGTGCGTGTGTGTGTGTGTGTGTGTGCGTGTGTGTGTGTGTGCGTGTGTGTGTGTGTTTGTTTGCTTTCCTTTTCTTTTCAGCTGTCATTTGCCCTGATCATGCCGCATGCGTGTTTCACAGCATAGTACATTTCCGCTCATTTTCTTCTTCAACACACGCTAGCTGTATTACTTTGTTCTTGCCCGTACAAGAGGCTTTTCCTACACATGATCATACTGTACACTCTAGTACTATGATCATACTGTACACTCTAGTACTATGATCATACTGTACACTCTAGTACTATGATCATACTGTACACTCTAGTACTATGATCATACTGTACACTCTAGTACTATGATCATACTGTACACTCTAGTACTATGATCATACTGTACACTCTAGTACTATGATCATACTGTACACTCTAGTACTATGATCATACTGTACACTCTAGTACTATGATCATACTGTACACTCTAGTACTATGATCATACTGTACACTCTAGTACTATGATCATACTGTACATTCTAGTACTATGATCATACTGTACACTCTAGTACTATGATCATACTGTACACTCTAGTACTATGATCATACTGTACACTCTAGTACTATGATCATACTGTACACTCTAGTACTATGATCATACTGTACACTCTAGTACTATGATCATACTGTACACTCTAGTACTATGATCATACTGTACACTCTAGTACTATGATCATACTGTACACTCTAGTACTATGATCATACTGTACACTCTAGTACTATGATCATACTGTACACTCTAGTACTATGATCATACTGTACACTCTAGTACTATGATCATACTGTACACTCTAGTACTATGATCATACTGTACATTCTAGTACTATGATCATACTGTACACTCTAGTACTATGATCATACTGTACACTCTAGTACTATGATCATACTGTACACTCTAGTACTATGATCATACTGTACACTCTAGTACTATGATCATACTGTACACTCTAGTACTATGATCATACTGTACACTCTAGTACTATGATCATACTGTACACTCTAGTACTATGATCATACTATACACTCTAGTACAGTATGATCATACTGTACACTCTAGAACCATGTGAACAACAGAAGACTGCTATCTGTACTGAACTTCCAGTCAACATTGTGTAAATAAACAAAAGTGGAACCACACTAATCAATCATGAATCTTACCTGCAGTCTCTTATTGTCCCTGTCAACCACCACAAGATCACCATCGTCATCCACAGCTACATCAGTGGGGTTCTTGAATTCAGCATTACCACTGCCCAGTTTGCCTATATCACGTATGTATGTACCATCCAGTGTGGTGACCTACAGGTACATACATGTACATCACAACACAATACACCAACAGAAAAGAACAGCATGGACAAAACTTCATTTTAACATTTCAAACGTTTCCCAGTACAGAATGATACAGGATGTCTGCATCATACATAAGCTCAGTTACTCATGCAAGAATTGCACCAATTAGAAAAGAAGTGGGCTTTGCACAGGAAAACTTAGTTGCCCACGCACACGGGTGTTATAGGCACAGTGCTGGTGCTGCAAGTATGTGTCATATTGCTGTCCCTGCACAGTTTACAAGTTGGCCAATTTTTACTTTTTAATATTTGAAATCGTGCTACAAAGTGTGTAATGGAGTAGCCATGACAAGATTAATACTGTTATTTAAGAACTAAAGACTACAATATTAATGACGGGAAGTGCCAGCTTCAGCAACAACTAGAGAGGCAGAAGAAGAGACAGGTGCATGCACAGCGAAAACAGAGCAGTTACCATGCAGGCACATAGCACTTGCTCAGAGCAAAGCAAAGCTAAGGCGGCAGCGGATTAATGCCATGACAGCCGAATAATTATGGTTCGCTGCTTTTCTCAGCAATGAGGGATGCAATACGCTTGTAAAGCGAGGCAGATTGCTTGGCCATGCCACCGGTTGTCGAGAAGACCGAAGTTGGCCAATTTTTACGGGCATTTTTATGATTTCAATTCGACAGATTTGTCTTGAATTTCTCGAAACCTGTCTGGACATGGCGGAGCTGTCCTAAATTTTAGTTTCTTTCTGGATTTGCTGAAATTATGTATTACTTTTCCCCACCATTTCACCGTCTCTATTTTGTTTGTCTCTGCTCTTTCATTCATTTGCAACCTTGTTTTCTTCCCGAATGGAGGTGGGGATGCAAGCGGGCATCAGGATTGTCGTAGGTGTGTGGTGTGACTCCTCATGCCAGGTAGTTATGTCAGCCCTAGGTGGGAGAATTCTTGGCCCCGTTGGTCATTCGTTTGCACACGCTGGGCGGTACGAGATTGGCGCCTAGGGCCCGTATGCTTTAGCCCTTGGTGGGAAGGTCGTGGGTGTCAGCAGCTATTCCTTGGCTCTCAATAGTCCGTACAGGCATTACACATCAGCCGTTGGTGGGCGGTACATGATCGTCTCACAGCAAGCAGTATGCTTCAGCGCTTGGTGGGTGTATGTGCTACACCTGGGGGGGGGGGGGGGGGGGGGGGGCAGTATACTTCATCCCTCAATGGGATGTATGTGATAGCTCTTGGTGAGCTGGTTGCTTCAGCCCTCAATGGAATGTACTTCCTCCACATCATTAAAATTGTTGATTCCCAGAGCGATTTTTCAAATTTATTTTGTCCGCTCAACGTGAAAAGAAATCAGCTAGAAATTGAGGCAGAGCATTGTCGACAGACCAAGCTTTAGTTTTGGCCTCCCGTTTTTGCTGCACTTGCAGCTAAGGTCGATGTCTTCATCAGAGTTGGAGGCAGACCCTTCAGTACTAAGCGATACGCTGAACAAGACGCACGTTCAAATTCAGGTCATGAAACTTCGTTTTCAAGCCATCCATGACTCCAGGTGGCAGGCGATGACATGAAAACTATAATTTTTCGAGTACACTGACATGACCTTCCAGCGGGATTGGGTAAGCAGTTCCGCACCCTCTTTTCTTGGCAAGCGCTTCGCTGATTTTGTTGATGTTTTCAGGCATGCTACCCTCACAGCATCATGCGGCACACGTCGTGTTCTTTTTACGAAATTGAGAACAATTTGTTGTTGCCATCGTCAACTTCAGCATTTCGAATTCAGGAGAGATACCCGGATTCTTATACCCGAGCTTGCAGTCTTGATAAATGCCCCACGCAAACTATGTCGAAGGGCAAGAACTCCAGAAAAACGATACGTGCTCTGGGGCAGAATAGTGCGGAGCGCGATGAATATATTTGGTGCGGAAGAGGGCTTGGACAACGTCCGAGACCACCATGGCATCAGTAACAACTTGCCATTGCTCGGAAAGGGTGGCTCTAATGTTCGAACACAGAAAACAGCGATTCCAAAAGTTCGACTTTAGCCCTCAATGGGGTGTACATGTTAGCCCCCGTAAGCAGTTTGCTTCAGGCCTCGGTGGGGTGTATGTGTTAGCTCCTGGTGGGCAGTTTGCTTCAGGCCTCGGTGTGGTGAATGTTTTACCTCTAGGTGGGCAGTTTGCTTCAGCCCTCGGTAGCGTGAATGTTTTAGCTCAAGGTGGGCAGTTTGCTTCAGCCCTCGATGGGGTATACGTATTCGTATCCGGTGTGCAGGTGGCTTCCGCTGTCGGTGGGCAGGTTGTTGGCCTCAAAGGCCGTCCATGCACCCTTGGTGGGCAGATTGCTGGCAGCGTCGGCCATTTGTGCACCCTTGGTGGGCAGTATGCTAGCAGCCCGGTGCTGACAGGATCATTATTTTAGTGCTTGGTGGGCTGCCTGTCGGCCTCTATGGCCGCTCGTGTGATTGGACCATGGTGGACAGCCGTGGGCCAGCCCTTTGGGGCCATTTGTGTGTCGGCTCTCGGTGGGCTGTGGGCGGTGGGAATCACTGAAGATCATAATAATTATGTGATGATATCATGGTGCAACGGTTATCGATTGCTTCCTTAGAGCCGGTCTATAATCAAATACTATTATGTCAAACGTATTATACTGCTAACCGCTTTTTCGTTCACAACTTCCCCTCGAACTTGTGAACTGCATTCAGCATATTCTTCTAATATCCTTATCCAAAAGGAAGTGATCGCAACCCCTAACACAACGTGTCAATTGCTTGTGACTACACATGCGTTGGAACATTTTTGTATGCCCAGGTGTGCGCGCGGGAGCGTGTGTATATTGCCAGTCGAATAGGTGTGTCATGCATTAGAAGATATAACACATCCCGCAAACTAGCTTACTTCCCCATGTATCGGGGCAAGATCACATCGCCTGGTAGGTTCTTGGCACCGGAGTGAGCTACCAAGATGCCTTTCTAAAGAAACGTGACAAAGACTCGGCAGTCTAGTTCCTTCTCCATGACATTTGGGTGGCTGAATAGTAAAGTTGTGTTTGGCAGAGACAAATGTTCATTCCTATCGTTTCAACTGTATTTTCATTTCTCTTCGTTCTCATTAAGGTCTGCTCTCTGCCAATGAGGAGTAGTTGCATAGCTGGAGATGATTTGCTACAGTCCGACTTTACATAATCTACAACTACTTCATTAGTGCAGTGAACGAGGATACATAGCTTTGCCTCATCATGGTACCAGGTTGTGAAAACAATTGGCAAGACATACGGCGCATGCCTCATGATGTCTCTCTGTCTACTTCTTCACTAGTCCACGTGCCATTGATACACCAGACAGACGTTTCTGTAGACTCCCCAGACACGAGAACCACTTGCATCTATATATTATTATAGTTGTAGATTTGGTAATGGAGGACAGTCGGAATGCAGGAAGAATGATTTACCATTCCAGTATTGCAGCAGATGCTGCCACCACCTGATATCTTCCATAGCATTAGAGTTAAGAGCTACAGTACAACCTGTGTTTGCCCAACCTTGTCCGAAACAGAATACTGTATTGACCAAATGTTTCTGCACCAAAGTACTGTGGATCAAACGTGCATCCTTGGATCAAGCGGAATTCTGATATATCATTACGGTTTTGGCTGCAGCAAGGGTGTCCGGTTAGGTCAGATTTTACTGTATCTTGTTGAGAGGCTTTTGATACCTGCTGCAACAAGACCAGAGACATTGTGGAAACTTACGGCCCGGCACAACCCAACGTGCTGCAGAGGAGAGCTTCACCATAAGGGACTCGAGGCTGTGCTGAGAAAAAGAGGCGCACTGGATTGTGGCAGTAATGTTGAGATCCGAAGTAAATCAGTGTGCTGAATGGTACCATATACCAGCCATAGGCATACCGTCATTGAAACTATTCCCAAGTGGCCTGCAAATGAGGTGAATCATGCGCATCTTTCCATTCTTCTTTGGCACTGCACCAATGCCTGAACATTACAATGCATAAAAATAATAGAGGTGAAGTAAGGAAGACTTAGTCTGCCCTGTGATTACATGAGGTAGTGAAATGGTCAGATATAGCTAAGCGTGTGTGGCAGCAGAAGAGAGATTCAAAGAAGTGACATTTGCTGGAAAGGTAAATTAGAAGCTGACAATAAACCCATGATTCAAGCCATGCAGAATAATTCATGAAAATATGAGTCTAAGTCGATACATAGGAAGGACAAAAAACGGGCAACATTCAAAAGTGAGCGAAAAGTGGAAGTGTGCGAGGTTACTTCTGAGGGTAAACAAAGGAGTTAGTGATCTTACTGGGAAGTGTTAAAAAGGCTTTTGTACCAGTCTTGGAGCACAGTTATCGAGAGTGGTTATAGTGGAAGCGGCATAACTTATACCGGGGCCAAAGATGTAGTTCTGGCAGATAATTTGGGCACAATCCGAGTGTGAGAGCATGACTCCATACTTATACTGTTAAGGGCGTTGGCTGGGATGAAAAGGACGCTGACCTGATGGAGGGTGTATAGTATGAACTACTGGACATGCTGGTCTAGCTTTGAACTACTGGACATGCTGGACTAGCATTGAACTACTGGACATGTTGGTCTTGCTATGAACTACTGGACATGTTGGTCTTGCTTTGAACTACTGGACATGTTGGTCTTGCTTTGAACTACTGGACATGTTGGTCTTGCTTTGCATGACAGATAGCTGCCATACATGTTTTAGCAATACTTTCAAGGCTTTGCTAGAGCGATGTTGACGTCCAAAGCGAAGATGACGTCCAAAGCTACTGGTCATAACTGGTTGTAACTGAGTCATGCAGTGGCGAGATCCGGACCGAAAGCTTTCAATATAATTGATTGACAGGCCAGTGAATCAGGCAGAATGTGTGGTGCGTGGGTGCAGACAACACCCATGTGCAAAGTCAAGCCTTCCAACTAGGTAGCCATGTTGAGCACTCGCCATTTTACTTGGCGACTGATAGGGAGTACGGA